TGTTTTGTTTAAATTTGCACCTGATGCTTTGCCGTTAGTTAATATATAAATAAGATATAGAAGTTAAAAGAGAAAGATAACATTTCAATTGGAAAAATCTTATATCATTGACAAATTGATATGAGCGGGTAATGAGAATCACTTTTTTCATAGACGCTTGGCAGTCAGACCCTGAACCAAACGTGATACACCCCTGTAAACTCTCTTTACCTTATTGAGACTTAATGGTGAAAGATATTTTTTCATATATGTAAAAATTGATTGAAAACCAGTTTTATCTTTGTAACAGGTGTCCCATTCGTGTTAAAATATTTTTGATAGAGAGTTTATAGGGGCGTATCACGTTGGGGGCAGGGTCTGACCTCCAAGCGTCTGTGTTTTTTTCTCGAATTTAATAAAGTAATGGCTAAAGTCTATCTAAGAAAACAAAGGATTAGGGAGCCTTTTTTAAATTATATCTTCAATTTTCATTGATCATGGAAATAATTATGTACGAATATTTCACATGCTTTAGCGTTATCTTTATTAAAACATGGTTGTCCCGGGACACACACAGACGCGCGCGTACGCACTCGCACGCCCACACACAAACACAGACTCTTTGCAATGGTACATAAGTTTGATATATCTCACAAATCGCTTTTGTGGAACAGTCTAGAGTTAAATAATAAGTAATTTGATAAAACAAAATTATATTAGTTGTTCTTACTTGCAAATTGGGTTATCATTCTTATGGAGTGGACATCCGAGTTCTTGTTCCCTTACACATGGATCAACATCGCAGTCTACCCATTGTTTATCATCCGGACATTGTACACAACCATCACTGTTGTCGCCTGGGGCACAGTATCTCAGTTCGACAACTATAATCAAATAAACAAATTGCGTTTGGTTTGTCTTATAATGGATTGACTGATGAAATTTGGTTAAGAAAATAAATCGTGCAACTCTTTCTTATTCTGTTTATAAAACTTGTAAAATGAGACGCTAACTGCACTGAAGAGCACACACCGTAATCTGACTGATTATTTCAGTGTACAATTTATGTGCTTATCATTTTCTTTATAAGATGACAACTATCGGCCTTTGGAGTATATGTATCAATCCATTAAATTATTAAAAACTGTAAAAATGGTTTCAATAGAGGTAATATGTTTTAGATCATTTTTAGAAAAGTCTGATATATATCTTTTTTATCATTTCACCAAACAGTTCCAACATATATAAGCATGTGCGTTTTATGTCTACGATACTAATTAGGCCAGCAATGACGGCATGGATGTCTACAATCTTCGTAAAAGTATGCCGGTTTATTGTTAAAGCATTAGTTTAAGAACTACTTCTATTGCTATTTCGTTGAAGTTGTTTTATGTATAAACGAGACTTACCAGCAGGGAAATACAACAAAATGACACAGCCTATAAAAAGTCCAATCATATTCACAGTCCTGTTTTGTTTGACGATGTTTTGAGAAATGTTATCAGTAAAGTTTGAGTAAAATTCACTTTAAAATTATAACTTTAAGTGTATAAATAAATACACTGAAAAGACATATGTCAGCTCTCACGTTCGAACTTCGTTATCATTAAATTTTTAATAAACATCTTTATGTTCTAAATTAAATTGTGTCATATTATAGATCTACGTTCATATCTTTAAAATGACTTTAATTTGATATACAAATGATATTCTAATGTTTTTCGAACAATTGTAGTGAATTACAGAATAATCTAGATGTATTGAAAGAATATTGTAAGAGAAAAGGTAGTTGTTAATTCGTAAAACATTTATTTTCACTAAACTCCGATTTTCAAATAAGACTACTTTCTTTGTACTTACTTACCTTGACAATGTAATAGTTTATTTTTCATACACAAATCTGTTTCTGTTATTGTGGTTACTGTTTCTTGAAATTGAAACGTGTGTTTATTGAAGATATGAGATGTTAATTTCGAGACCAATTGGAACGATTCTTTATTTTATGACTATCTCATACATATAACATACGAATATAACATATCTTTTATAAATGTTTACCAACAGAATGATAAACAGAGTGTCTCTAAATCATGCATGTGAACAACTGACTACCTGGCAAAGAAGAATGCACAGCCAGTTGTATATTGCAACAATTTCTCGTAAATTTCTTTAGAACTTAATGGTTGTTTTTACTGCATCATTTTTCCTGTTGATATATTTAATATGTTTAAAGTTTTTTTCCCAATATACACTTTATTTCACGTGTTATTTTAAATGTGGCATTTCTTCTGGTTGCAATATAAAAACAAATTTTTCAAGTAGGTGTGAATCCCTACCCAATGAACTTTATTTACACAATTTGTCAGTAGATGATATGAGGTGTCGTTTTAAGACACTGTTGATGTTCTAGATACATGCCTAGGTCATTTTCTCTAGTGAGAATTTTAATCTTTCTAGCGGCTAGAATCCTAACGCCATAGCGATATGGTTTAACGCTGAATAGGCCTGCGTATTCCTATAGTCTAGAGATATCAATATCCAACATATATATATATATATTTAAGATGTGTACATGACTTTAAACTTCAGCAATGGAAGGTCACAAAAATATAAAAACATTGAGATGAAATACGGAACGTCTGCAAAGGATAATCACAAAATTGACAAATGTCAAATTCAAATAGCCACCTGAATTGAATGAGTGTACCTTCCATAAGTTGATCAAAAGAGGCATGCATTTCACAGAGAAAGAAACTACTCTAGTAAATAAATTCAACAAGTGTGAAAATAACAGTTACTTATGTGAAAGTTTAAATCAGTAGTTAATAACCGTTTAAAGGAGTCGTAAAGGCGGCACTGTTCAGTTTCGGTTTTATGCCGGTGCTAGCGGGCGTGAGAGATGTTGCACTTTATCATTGTCCCTCCTGTACAGATTCAATCAAACCGAGTCTGCATTTTTTATGTAATTTGTTGTTGTGATTTATCACCGTTTTTCCTGATTTTTACAAGACATTTAATAAGTTCGCATGTTAAAAGAGTTCAAATGCTGTTTTATTACTAAACGCCAAAATAATGTTGGTGTTACTTCTATACATTCGTGTAAGTTTTTTTATGAATTCTTAAATTACATCAAACTATAATGCTGCGAGCAATGACTTTGATTGTTCTTGGTCGAATTGTTAGTGGCGGCATTAGATGGATTATCGTATTCAAAATTATCAAACATGGTTTCTAGAATAATTAGAATACATTTTAGTTAAAACAAACAGTAAATCTTATATTTTATGTATTGTTAAAGGCCGGGAAAAGGATCACATGGTATGTTGAATAAGTTTGGGAAGTGGGGGCGAGGTGGGGGCGAAACACGTGTTGAATTTAATGAAAAATGAAAAATATAGATCAGACATTGCCAGGAGGTAGAAACCTATAATTATATGCCCGAATTTTAAACAAATCCATTGTTTTCATTTTAAAGTAGCTGAAATGTACATTATTTTGTTAAGTAATTGTGATGGTTTTATGGTGAAAATTGTGTCGGAATAAATTGTCAATAGCTGTTGAATATTCTTTCAAGGAAATAACTTCTTTATTTGAAACTGATGTAATGTTAAGCAAGTACTCGGGAATCATATATATGTAGCTAATGATCCATATGATTTAAAGTTAAAACGTAATAATTTAGCTATGTTAAAATTCAGATGCTCGTATACTTACGCAAAATTGCCAAGCTTTTAACATGATATCACACGGATTACTCGTAAATCATTTCATTCCTCAGTTTCAAATTAAAACTAAGTTATATTCCGTGAAGAACCATCAAATTATAATCTCTTTATTCAGATAGGTCACCATCGTTAAAAGTAAAAACATTACTATAAAAGGGTTGTTTGGTTTCTAGAAAACTTACAACAAACCATACAAATGTCTTGAAGTGAGAACCCTTCATATAGTAAATCATTATTTACATTTCTTGTCAATGTCTTCATTATAAAATCTATACATGTATACAAATAAAGATGACTATATTGTGATATAAATTATAAGTTATACTTATAGCTTATACGTTATTAATTACATATGAAGTACTTAGTAAGTTTCTTATTAATGGCCGCGAGTACAACATGAGGTTATTATACATTGTTGAGTTCAATACTGAATTCTATAGGACGAGTACACAGCTGCCAAACCGAGGTGCTACCCGAGATTGATACAGGTTTTATAGCCTTGTACGGGTCCCATGGAATCAATATTGTTATCAACAATGTAAAATGACCACTGGAGCAACACTATCACTTGGGAATTTAAACCAGTGAACGGTTCCTCCTTGCTCTTCAATATGTTTCTCTAATATATGATAGGAAAGATCAACAACAGAGATCGACCCTTACAGAACGGAGTCCACACAGGACCAACTAGCATATCTAAACTCCACATTTGTAGAGTACCCGGTCTTAAGATCAATCCCCTTTAATAGCACATATCTACAACAGTAAAGAAGTAACAGTTAGATTGTCTTATGTCGTGTTAAGCGCAGTATTAAGTTAATATCAAATGTTCATGCACCGTTTAAATAGTTATATTATAGAGTTGTACCTATTAAACATATTAAAAGTGAACTGTAACTCTATATTCGACCATAAACATATTTAATCAAAGCAGAAAGGTTTTTCTTTCAGAAAAAAAAACATTTTGTCATATTTGTCGTGAACTATTCTGAAGAATGCTTTCCTAATACAATAGTTTATTGAAATTATTTTAAGAATGAAAATCGTGATTGTGATAATGTCCATTGTAATACCAGTGCCAATATTTCTCTGAAATGTATGAATATAGTTATTATATAGCGTAATCTTTAATCCAATCAAATTTCATATTTAGTATTGATAAATATCTCGTTGTCTGCCTACTCGTTACAATGATCCACCTTTCTGGTATAATCACGTAAGGCTATAGACAGATTATGAGTATATATCATATATGACGCCAATCATTTGACATTATAAATTGATACCTGTGACCAGTATGTATGTGTGAGAATTTTACGTAAATACTTCGCAATCAAAGGAATATTGCTCTTTTAAATTGACATTTCAGACTAGAACTAAATAAGATTTACAACAAAGATATATTTTAGATTATTAATTTATTTTTCTACATTGAAATATTTATTTAGGAATGATACAAGGATTTGAAGTAAATAATCTTAAAAACGTGCACAATTAACATCCCAGTATGAATACATTTGAAATATGCATCGTATTAATGTGTTTTATACATTCCAATTTTGCTCAAGGACTTCATATGATTTTTCCAAAGAACACAGGTAAGATTCAAATCTAGTTCTACATTTTTGAGTTTGTCTTTTGCTGACTGCCATTTAAATTTGTATTTAAACACTTCATTGTTTATATTAGTGTTTACATTCAAGAGGATTAAGTAACTGATCTTAGAAATATAAATGAATAACCTTTATTTCCGAAAGTTTCTCGATAGGATAAATCCTATATTATTCGAGGCATTCGAACAAACATTTTCACATAATTATATTTATACAATTTATCATAGAAAGTTAAATCAAACGTTAGAAAAATGATAAATTCAATGTAAATCTAAGCTGACGATTTATCGTATAGAACTTAGTACAATTCTATTTTCCGGTTATGGAATACAAAATAGTTTAAAAGGACTATGACATTAAGGTAATATTCAGATGAAATTTCGGAAAGTTAAATTTATTTATTTTGAAAAGATTCTGTATGATATATAATTCTTTACAGATATTATTTAAAACTTAAGAGTTATGTCTGAAGTTAAGTCATCACGTACTAGAATATTTATAAAAAAAAAATTAATTAAGAAAACTTTTTGTATCTCAATCTAACTATATATGTTTAATTTATTCAATTCAATAAGATACGAATCATTCCTCATTTAAACAAAGGTAACCTTCATTTGTATCGTGTCTTGTCTTTCTGGTGATTAAGTACCTGTTCATCATTGCTTTGAAGGTTTTTCAACGTTTAAATGACCACCACAATATACTCAGGAAACATAGCTGGTAACAAAATAGTGTTTGTCGTATATATTATTAGTTAAAAAGAATTCTGACAAGTTATATTGTCCTATATAAACGGTTGCTTGCCTATATAACCCGAGTTATATAACCGTTTCTATACGGTCATATAATCTGTCAGGAATCTTTATAACAATTTTATCCAAATACATAAATAAATTTTGCTGGGGTAAAACATTTATTGCCGATAAATTGTGGCATAGAGTAATTTAAGATAACTATGATATACTCGTATAAATGGAAATTAATTATCTATGCATTATATATAAACTTGTAAAGCACAGCTAACATCAATTTACTTTTATGAATATTCGTACCTATGATTATTATACTAGATCGATGGTTTTATGATATAAAAAACAAACATATAAATGATAAAAAGCTACACATGACTTATGCCTGTTTAAGATTGTCAACGTAATAGTGCTAAAAGAATGAACAACTAGTCCGTGTTATCATGCTTCATAATGGAATTATTCACTGGAGGCATGAATGAAAAACAATGTATCTATTAGACAATGTGCCTTGGGGAACCCAACTTCTTCCTTAAAAATACTACCGAGGACAAATTTAATATGAGACAGACAATAAATGCAATGTAGTGTATGGAGTGTATCATCCAATAATATACTTAATGTCTTATCATTTGTCTTAAATACAAAAACTACTATATATAAAACAGGTTACAGACTTTGACGCGCATCCTCGCATATTGTAACTTCATAACTTACCTAATGAGCTACTTTTCTATTGATCAATGAAATGTTACTTTTTTCAGCGTAAAGTAATGCTGCGAGCACCAACACCGAATATTTATGTTTCTAACGTATTTGATAAGTTTTAAAACTCATTTTCAAATAGTTTTCTTTATCCTTCAACTTTAGCTATTTTATCAAGTCATTCATAGTTATTTTTAAATATCACATATATAAAAACAACTTACTTATTATTGTCCAACAATATTAACCTGGCACTTCATTAACTTTCGTAAAGGTCATTGGAGTGGTGTCTTACGAATATATCAATATATTTATTAACTTCACACGTCAGTGAGGTGTGGTGTAATGGTATAGATGACGGACTAGTGATATGAAGGTCTCCGGTTCGTTACCTTACCAACACCACGTCATCAAGATACGCATTTTTTTTAATTTCATTTTGGAATTTACTTGCAAGAATAAATTGGAAATCGTTTTACAATATCTGCTTTTAGGATACCTATTAAGTAGTGTTTTTATACAGTTATATGTTTTATTTCATTTCATTATCTTTAATAAAAAGTACAGCTGTTAATAAAACAAAATAAAAAATATTACCCAGATTACACTCACAAAAAAATCGAAACGACTTGCACTAGATTTGAGAGAAATGGTAATTTTTACATTAAAATTAATAAGAAATAAAAGTGGTTGAATCAGAGTTTACGCCTATATTCATAAAGAAGTGAAGACTTTTATAGCCCACGCTTACAGGGATTCTTAATTTAGAACATTTAACAACTGCTTATATACATTCATACCAATTTACAAGTACGGAATTTACCGACTATAGTGTCAAATGCAAGAGTGCCAGGTCTTTATTGTTGGACAATACGTTGAATTGAAATAACAATAAACACTTCTAACGGCTTATAGTGTTAAAAAAATTAACAAAAAGGTGTATTTAACACCTGTTTGTTATTTTCAATATTTTTATGAAACTGACATTATGTATACATTAATATTTTAAATCAATTATGAAACGAGTGAAAAATATAACATTTTTATTAAGATTGTTTCGCACTGCAACATATATAGCCGCCAGGTTAGGTAAATAGGTAGGGCGTTGTGATTGAACATGAAATCTTTCCTACGGTAATTCGCAATGTACTTACACAGATGGTATCAGTTCCTTGCGAAATTGAAGGAAGGCTCTAGTACGAACGTTACTTTGGCTGAACTTCAAAGTGGTTTACTGCTGTAAGTAATTCGGAGGGTAAACTACTTAATACACCAACACATTGCATATATTAATTGATACACAAACTACTGTATATTTCAGATCCCATAGACGACATAACTGAACAACCATTTAGCAATCAAAATGATTTTGAAGGGGACGCATTAGACGCTATACCTGAAGAAATAGAAAGAAGTGTTAGTCCGTTTTTAACTCCAGACGGTAAGAACATGTTTACTGCCGTAATCAAATAGTACTACCGGACTATTTAAATGCAAATTTATATTAAATTATATCATGGTACTTTTCAAAAAAAAAAAAAACATTCTTATCATTATCATTAGATCTACACTTTATTTCCCATTTTCATAGATTTTAAACATAATAGCAAAAATATAGTGTATACAATCACATTCGTTACATGTTATACAATTGTTCAAACATAGTAAATATAGGTCATGGTTTAAACATAGGTTAAGCATATAAATTTATTATATGCACCATAATATATACATACATGTATTTACATTAATAAATACAAAAACATACACAAAAACAAAAATGATGTGAGATATTTTTTTTATGTAATTCATGGTCTGGAATTCCATTAAAAAATTAGTGCTTTTACGAAACGAAAACAAAAGCACTATAAATGGATTAAAATCTTAAGTACTCAAATAATGATATCCTTATTGTTTGATTAAACAAAATTTGTAAAAAATATTTCAGTTGGTTTCCCTTACAGTAAACTTTTTGCCTACTACAAATTTTATATAAGCAAACGACTGGAATAAAAATTAGCATTTTGTTTAAAATTTAATTAACTAGTAAGTGGAAGACTGCATTTCATATATTAAAAACGCCGAAACTGGCGAGAGAAATTACCTTGTTATGTATTAACTGTGATGAAACGTAGAAACATTAAAAGATTTTTACATTACATGATTATTTGAAATAAAATCTAATACAACATTTGCCTTTGCTTAATAATTTTATTCTTTGAGAAAAGAAAATACATTAACAATAACCACATTCAGGTATGCTCTGTACAAAATGATATATGTTCCATGATGAAGAATTCATAGAATTGAAGTCACGAAGTACTTGTTCTGATTATTGCTATTAAATTTTTTTAAGCCTGATTAGAAATTATAGATATAAACATTAATGAAATATTACATTTTACACAGTCAATTAACTTTTCTTAGACTACTCAGAGTACGATAGTTATTTCTCAGTTTGTAGATTATTTTAATCAAACTATTCCAGTGTTGTGGTGAGAGATTTCTGGGATGTGGTCGGATGAAAAATGATTTCTATAACAACATAAATAAAGTTTATCAAATTAGATTTAAAGATCAAAAGCTTAATTTAGAAATGATATACTATATAGCGTCAACAATTGCATCTGTCAGCAAACATTATAACCATTTCAAAAATACTTCTAAATTTGATTTGGTTAACATTAATTGTCCACACAAATTTTGTTCAGAATGTGCATAAACGATGTTTTAAAACGACATTTTCAGTAATAAATGTCAGGCGTTTCACTCCCAAGTCATTTCAAACTGTTTCATAAGGAGCAAACTGTGTTACAGTGAGTCAGTCCTTCATTACATGCGTATGTCTATACACATAGATCATAATAACACTTTGCGTAAAACACATTTCCATCAATATTTTGAAAAGGGAAAGTATATGTTTGTTAAACTCGGTAGGGATATTGTCCATGGTCTGTAAATGACCTTTATTTATTTTGAGGCCACTAGATCAAACGTTAAGGTCGTATACAATCCTTGTTAGATCGATAGTTTGAAAAAGAAAATGTCTATGAACATTATATGGCCTTTTTGACTTTGGGATAATAAGGTAAAAGTCACAGTGATACTAAACATGAAATCCTTATCTTTATAATAATTAGAATTTTCTCAGTCAAACGTTTGTGAAACTAACTACACATGTAATATGGAACAACTGAAACTGTATAAACTAAGCACAGGTTTGTACTTCTGCCACTGTAAAAGGCAAGTGAAGTGTTGCATAAGTGTCATATGGACACATTTCTAGTTAATGCTTTTTATTTTAAATTTGTCTGCAAAGAAGTTTAATAGCAAAAATGAATGTACAAGACGCTTTCATCAATTGTAACAAAGGTTGACCCTCCACCCTTAAGGCTGAGGGGATGCCCTAATGGGTTGATATATCAGAATTGCAGTCAACGTTTAAATCTGCAATATTGTAAGACATTACTAAATGGGTTTGAATCATTGGAGTTTTTTGCATTTCTTAACTCCAGCAGGTCAGGTGGTTTTGACCCCTTGTGTTGCTAAAAGTTTGCCGAGGTTAGCCTGTTTTGGCGCCATATGGCCCAAACGGCATATGTTTGCCGTAAAACAAAACCAAACAAACATAGAAATGTTGCATAAAAGCCATGTAATTATATATCTCCGTCGCATCCGGTCAGACTTGAAAAGTCAATTCTATAATACAATATTGAAAAATTATCAAATTCTACTTTCGTATTGCAATGAGTTACACACATATATTAAGATTGATATAACCAAAATCATATTGCGATATCGTTTCTTAAGTTGTATTAAGGTATAAGGTAATTTATAGGAAGCGTAACACATTTATTCATTGACAAATAAAACATGTAGATGACTATATGTACATTTAAACTTATTTTTATAAGAGTTATCATTTGTGATTCACAGAAAAGATTTGATATGATATGTTTAACATATACATACATCGTATATATTTTCAGGAAATCGGCTTATGCTATTTAAGCAGATATTGTCTGAAGTAGGAAGTATTCTATCAGATAATTCGTTGGAGGATGAAAAAAGAACGCCTATGAAAAAGAGGTATTCGCTCTTTAATCACCTCAGGGGAGCAACTTTACCTTTCGATATGTCTCCGTCAGAGATGCCCTTTGTTCCCATGTATTCTGGATTTTTCCCGGCTTTGCATCATCGTCGATACAATACGTTAACAAGGAAATACAAACACAGTAACAGTCAACAGCAACAACAACATAATTATCGTCCTGTTCTATCTAAAAGGAAATCTGCAATTACTCCCCCGTCTCGTGATTGGTGTCGCTTAATTGGTTATCGTGTATGTCCACGCGCAACTAAATTTTGATTTACAAAAATGCAGGAAACGTGCAAAACGACCATGCATTGTTTCATGTTGATTGAATGGATATAAAAAATCTAAACCAAATGTATAAATATATTTGAAGATCAACATATATTTTGATATAAATACGCCAAAAATAAAAGTATAGGTGCAGATGTTTTTTTAAAGTCTTCTTCAATTAAATTGTACATTTTCATAAATTTGTTTCAGTGAGGACGCATTCATTTTTTTAATCTCAAACCTTAATCAATGTTCGCGTAAAATTCTGATGTCTATAAGAACAAGACAGAGTTGTATGTAATAAGTTTCTGGTTTAAATCGTGTAAAGTTTTTCTTTTATCTCTACTTTATTTTAAAAATCTATTAATATTTTCCTTGACGTTTCCATTACCATGTAGTTTGCATTGCCTTAATATTTGACAGTTTTAAGATTTCTTTAGAAATATTATTTTAACCTATTAAATAAGTTCAATACAAGAAGATATGAAAACATTCAACAGCTTTGAAAATCTCGATTATATGGAAATTGTATAAATGGAGAGACTTTATGCTACAAGATATAGAATCACCATCTGTAACTAGAACACTTGATTTAACATAAAAAAGAATATTTTGAAATTACCAACTGGTGTCTTAGACAAATAAATAAAATATATTTATATAAACAGCACCATTGTTTGTTATTTTGTCGTTTCAGTTTGGGAATAGGTTATACTGAAAACATGTGCATTCATGTGCCTTGTATTTTACTACCCGGCGTTTGTATCATTACCTGTTTTATCACTGACTTATGTAATTGGTTCAAATCAAATGATTTTTTTCATTGAAAAATTTTAGGTCGGGCCAGAAAAAAAAAAGAAAAATTGAAAACAATCTTTTAACGCTCAAACCAATTTTCATTAAAACATTCATAGATGAATCAGATAGTGAGTGAACATTTAAACTTTAATTAAATGTTTAATTAATTAATTATCTAAGATGTTGTTTTAAATTCTTATACGCCTCACACTGTTCCCATATCAAACAGAGAGGGTAATCAAGTACGTTATATTACACGATATATGCGCACTTACATGTCATATTACATATGACGTCAAGAAACCAAATGTAAAATTAATTCTTCGCTCAATGTAGTTCAACATATTTTTATAAATTCATTTTTCTTATTATTATGTTAAAATATCACTCAAGCCTATCAGCCTTCCTGATTACATGCATGTTCCTGCATGTTTGAACTCAAAGCGTGCATTCTACTACAACAACGCACTCAAAATTTATATCTATTTCCTAAATATTACATAATGTTTTCTTTCAGTTCCTTCAGACAAACATAAATCATTTATAATTAAACAATATTATAACCTTGTTTTGAAAAAAAACAACAAACAATTATATAGGTGTGGTCAATACAGCCTTTTTATTCATTGATAATTACAAAAACACTGCGATGGTTTCTACACAAAATAATGACCAGAAATATGGTCTTTTGAGTCCATCTCTTAACACAAAAGATGAGAAGCGAAAAAATAAATCACTTTCAATGTCCAATGTTCAATGTCCATCTAAACTCAAACACTTAAATCCTTTACATATGGATGAATATTCTTTCACTCTGCTTCAATCTTATAGAAAATTTGACAATTCATTCGATCTGAAATAGATAAATTAACATGATAAACCATGAAACAAATTTGAAACATCTATATATTAAACTTGAAGCACTGTACATTATTTCATGTATATAGCTCTAATGTTGTTAAAACATGTATGCAAATAAACTGTTGTTGTTGTTGTTGTTAAATCAAAACTTTACTGTAACCAAATTCCAAAGAATCAAAACAGTAATCTTTAGAAATGGGCGGGTTGGTGGGGAAACTAATAACTGCCTGTATCTGACCTCAAAGTGACAATAACACGTTACAATCCGGTTTATATATAAACCGCTACCCGTTATAATTATCATATTTGGTAATTTTCTCATGCAAAACATGACTTCAGTTATAACATAGAACAATAATAAATATATTTATATATGCGCAATAGTTCGGCAAAGGCTTCAACAGACGGTATGATTTAATTGTACAACACTAATTTAAGACAGGATGTACAATTTTCAAAGCAATACAACGTTTGCATTCAGACCGTAATTCTGTATTGTAAGAATCACCAGGTTTCCCTCCAAAACAAATTCTTCCGAATTGATTCTTTAAAGAATTTATTCACTATTATAACTGGAATATGTCGCGATTATGCTCTATGAAGAGGTAGGCGATCACTGAAGATGATGATGATGATGTGTAAATATTATAATTGTTATTAGTGCGGTAGGCCGTGGCTAGAATAACTGAACATTCTAAAGCCGATTCTGCTTTTTGGAATAACGGTGAAAAATTTTCTTTTTATTTGATAAATGATGGAAACTCTTTCATTTTTTTAAACCAATTTAGTCTATAATCATTTTCTGTGTAATTTGGGATAAGAACATGCCAAAACTAGTGGGCTTCCCGAAGAGTTTTTCAACATCGCATATCCCATCATGCTACTATATTTATAGTTCTGGAATTTCATTCATTTTACAAAATATCAATGGATAATTGGACAATCTGTCACCTGTCATCGTGGGAGGTACATGAATGTGCATTAAAAATTACAAAATAGAACATGTTCGATGTTAAGTTGTGGGAATTCAAGAAATAGTATCATTCACACATTCATCTAAGTATTTATTGGTGTTGTACTTCAAAATCCTACTCTCTGACGAGGCCTTAAGAATAGTTTTGTATTCTGTGATGATAAAGCAGATATATCAATGAAAATTATCCGTTGTAAAGAAATATATAGATTGTGAAACATACTGATTTCTGGAGTTTAAGCCACAGTTGCTCTTTATATACATCGTTATCTGTGGAAATGTTTAATAGCTTAAAGTCTTTAGTTCATTAGTAAGTGTGGTAAATATATAATGTATTTCTTGACTGATCTTTTTTCATTAGAATGATATGCGTAAATAACGCTCACTTTTATTGATCGCAGTCTTAATAAAAAAGTTTTCTTCTTCAATTAGATCGATTTCATCGTAGTTTTCTGTTATGCTAACAAACATACTTTTAGATAAGTATATATCAAAATATTATTGACACTAATTAATATATTAATATGTTTAATATCTTCGAAGGATTATGTACAAAATAAGAAATGAGACAACTATCAAAATAAATATTAAACCGATGCAACAAAACAAAGAAACACATGTTACCAGGCGTGTTCACAGGTCAATGTCAGAAGTAGCCTCGTAAATATGAAAAAGTCACAAGGGGCAAGATCTGGCGAAAAAGGAGGGTGAAGAAGCTCGACAACCTTTTCCTGTTTCAGATATTCTCGTACAATGATCGCATTGCGTGACGAAGCATTCTCATGCAACAACCTGACACCACGGAGACCAGTTGCTGTTCAGCGTATTTTGGAATATCTCTTTCATTTATGAAGGACCTTGCCTTTGTGAAAGGTATTTACATATTTTCCCTTTGGTATGGCAATTTGAAAAGCAGGACCTTGGTGCGTATTGCTATGCAAGGCCTGTGACTGGTTTTGGTTGCCCATATTTTGTTATGTATCTTTCGCTTTGGCTCATAAAAGTGAACCCACGTCTCATCGCCAGTGATGATGTTTGCGAAAGATCGAATGTTGTGTTTAGGGAACTGTTTTAACAATTGTTTGGAGATTCTTACTCGAGCAAGTTTTTGCTCTTTTATAAGGAATTGGGGTACCCATCTGGCTACTTATTTTGGCGAAGTTGCAGTTTTCGGACGGCGTGCATTGGGTGCATCTTTTACTGAATCCACACCACTTTTAAATTTTTTACACCACCGTGTGATAGATGAAAAAGAATGTTCATTTTTCCCATAATTACGACATATTTCATTAAATATGTCTTACGCCTGTTTACCAAGAATACTTGATATAGGACGTATTTGTAAACGAGCGGGCTATTGTCAAAGCTACTCTGGACTGCTATACGAGTACACATGTATTGTATCAGTTGAGAGCTTATATTACACAATCATTTATGCGATACATGTACATAGTTCGTGCAAAACTTGGTTAAAAGCGAGATATTGGCCTAGTTGCATTCATACTTGAACACATCTCGTAATGTATAACAATATCCAATCATTATCTTTTAATAAAGGGACATTGTTATTATGGAGGGGTTTGTTTGTAGTTATCTTTTTAGAAAATGAAATTGAATCGCATGTCTACGAATTTGTGCGTATGTTTAAGGATGTTGTTTGTAGAAAAATGACGGACGGGCGGAAAGATCGTTAATAATCACAATAGTTCACAATGAGCACATTGTGCAATTGAAATTTTAAGAAGTGTTATTAATATGGAATAATTAATTCGATTGCAAAACAAAAACATAAACAGTGTGTGCAAGGTAGAAAAGATGCATTGGGAAACTAAATGATATACAAACAGATTCGCTCTATAACAATATAATCCTAGTCAATTTACCACAAAAAATAATAATTTGACACTTTTTGTAGCATTTTGTTTGTACAATCACTATAAACTAACTTCGTAACAACTGGTGTGTATTCTGATGCAAATCGCTTCTTGAAACTTTCCATCCAGAAATTAAATCCTGTAAAAATAATTATAAAACACTTTTTACAGTTATCAAAAATCATCGTACATGTACACAACTACAAAATACTGAATTATAATCAATAACACTATCAATAACTTTAAATGGACCATTTCAAATGTTAAAGGGAGTACTTCTCCTCAACAAGGGTCTGGTATAATGGTATAATTCTGTATCAAGGTGGCACCATTTAGAAACATGGGTGCTTTGTGTTTTCTGTTGTTGTTGTTTTTATCTGTTGAAATTAATTTCTATTGTACTTTAAGATTTTGGAGGTTGATCATGATTGTGTATCAATGATATGAAAGTATGACAAACTCTTTGTATTCTCCTACAAAATCTATGACACACACTCTTAAAATCTGATTTGATTTTTCTTTTATTTACAACAAATGCAGTAGCAGCAGAAACAACTGCAACAATAATAATAAGAATAATCATATGACGAATTTTGCAACATTGGCAAACTTCAAAATTTAATATGTATT